GAATTTAGTTAATTCCTCATCACTATAACCAGTAGTGCTGTTCTCACTTGTAGAATTTAGTTAATTCCTCATCACTATAATCAGTAGTGCTGTTCTCACCTGTAGAATTTAGTTAATCCTAATTTCCTGAGCTGCTGATCAGGAATTTAGGCACTTGGGTTTTCACAAAACAGGAAAACCCAACTGAAAGACTTTTCTAAGGTTACAGAACAAATCTACCCAACATGGTTAATAAAAAAAAAAAAAATTAGACTAGTCTGGAATGAGACTACATTCCTCTAGAGTTTTGTTATTTCCTCCATCGCTTTCTACCTTTTATATTCAGGCAAAGTTTCTCACTTGAACTCAGAGCTTGTTGATTTGGCTTTTCTAGCTAGAAACCTTGCCCCAGGGATCCTTTGTCTCTCCCTCTCAAGCACTGAGATTAAGGTAAGCTCAAATCAGCTTTTACATGGGTGATGGGAATTTAAACACAGGTCTTCAAACTTATGCAGCAAGTACTTTACTCACTGAGCCATTCTTCTATGTAGGTTTCATACTTACCTGTGACCCACATTAAGAAATATCCCAGGAGCCAAGTATGGTGATGCACACCTGTCATCGCAGCACTTGGGAAACTATAGAAAGAAAGGCTTATTCAAAGACACCCTATGTGCTTTAGAAAAAAACGTACAAAAGCAAAGCCAACCTTAGGAAGAACATACATGTATCTTCCTGAGTCAAATTTAAAAAAACAAAAAACAAAACCAAGCTATACCAGTATGGTGGTACCCAATAGTTAAATCTCAGCACTCTCGAGACAGAAAAACTGTTGTTAGTTCAGTGCCAGCCTGGGATACACAATGAGGCCAAAACACAAAACAATGATTTTTTTTTCAAAAGTGTATATTTCCCTATTTCTTACATTTCACTTCCTTGAAAATATGCTCACTGACATCCACTAATGGACTTTTGCTATTGGGCTGTCCAGAATTTTAAGGGTCCAGTTTTATAATCTAGGTGAAGATTGCTTATTTGACAGTGTCTTTGGCCTCCCTGGAGAGCCAACTGCCTCACATCGTTTTGAACATATTATTCCTATGTTCTTTTTTCTTCTTGTAATGCTACATCTTATTCCTTTATCAGATATTTCCACAAATAACTTGACTACTAGTGTAGAGAAGAGGCATTGAAGAGACTCGGTCCTGGGTTTAGGTACCACCTCCATCATTTGCAGGTGATCTTAATGAAGGGCTTGTTCACCATTGAAAACTCAAGTTTCCTCCTCTGTAAAATTCTAGTGTTCACCTTAGCGTGTCGCGTAAGATGATTCTTCTTCTTTTTTTTTTTTTTTAATTTTGATTGTTGGTCATTGCTGTTTGGTTGCACGCATGTCAGAAACCCTGGAGCTGGAGTTACAGACGTTTGTGAGCCACCGTGTGGGTGCTGGGAATTAAATCCGGGTCCTCTGGAAGAGCAGCCAGATGCTGTTAACCGCTGAGCCGCCTCTGCAGCCGATAAAATGATTCTTAAAGTGGTATTTCTAAGACTAGCAGCATCCATTCACAACCATCCTGGAACTTGACAGAAAAAGCAACTTTTGGTCCTCGCCTTAGAAAGACCCAAAGGTCTTTAAACCCAAGGTTAAAAGCAATTTGTTCTGACAAGTCTTCGAGGTAATTGTGACGCAACACTGAGTCTGGGATTCTGGCCGCGCACACGGTATAACACAACACCATGCCAAGCTGAGGTGAAGTATGCACCTGGGACTGCAGCACCGCCCACAGGCAATGTTCTGCAACTGATTCGGCTATGGCTCCTCTCTCTCTCTCTCTCTCTCTCTCTCTCTCTCTCTCTCTCTCTTCTCCCTCTCTCTCTCCTCTCTCTCCTCTCTCTCCTCTCCTCTCTCTCTCTCTCTCATCATGACCCGCCTCACGCACTCGCTGATTGGTGAAGTATCTTGGTGGCTCGCCAATCATCCGAGTGGAGATACAGACACGGTTGCGCCTGAGAGAGCATTGCTCCTATTGGTTGGAGGCCGCACCGCATAGCTGTGCCTACGCACGGCAGAGGCGTGGCACCAGCGGACGTTGAAAAATGGCTACTGTTTCTGAACTGAAAGCTGGTGAGTGAGTCGAGGGACGCTGACCTGTCGAGCCTTCAGGTCTATGATAGGGATGGGACGGATGGAGAGCGCTCGGGACACCGGCTCGGCCTTTTCCGGGGTTGTTCTCCGGTGGCAGGACCCGCAGGGGGCGGCCTCTGAGCGTGCACTGTGCTAGGGCCAGACTTGGAGCTGGAGGAAGAAGGGACTGAAATCTGCCGTCCCCTCAGAACGTCTGGATATCTCTCAGAGCCCCGCTGAGCCGACAGCCCTCTAGGGCCTGAGTGTAGGGCTGATCGTGACAACACCACAGCGACGATTGGTGACAGACACTCAACGATTTGCGCGCCTAGCTCGTCCGGAGGACGACTGTAGATAGGTCTTCCTTGTCTTTTGGGAGAAACGTGAGACCGAGTTACCCATCCTGGCGGCTCTTCGAAAGAGTTTTTCCAAAGTGGTTATGTGCAGGGCTCATGCAGGAGGCTCTGGGTTCCGTCCTCAGTACTACAAGAACGAAGAGTAGCCATGAGTAACACGTGTATAGTGTCAACTCTGAATTAACTAATTAGATTTAGTTAATATTTGAGTCATAATTGTAGTTCAAGTTTAGCGTGTGATCCTATCAGACACTTTACAACGCATCCGAAAACTACTTGATTCCGTGTAACAACCCTGTGTCCATTTCATACATTGGGAAATTGATGTGCTGAAAGGTGGACAGTTTCACCCAAGATAATTTAGCTAGAGATGTGGAAACCCCATAAGGTGCAGTAGTGCACCAGGTCTTAATCCCCCATGCCATTCTGCTTTCCAATGAATAAAACCAGTTTTGAGTTTCAAAGAATTTAGAGACTAAACCAGTGGTAGTGGAGATTTGGAGAGGATCAAGTAGAGTAACTTGGAGACTAAGATTTAGTAACCATTAACTTACATGTTTATTGGGGACACTGTTGATGAGCATTCCAAAAACATGCATGTCTCGGCCCCAAGAGGGACTTCACATGAATCAGTGGAGCTCTTCTGGGGGTAGGGTATACATAGCACATATGTATTGTATAAACTTTTCATAGGATTTTCATCATAATTCTGTTAAGACCAAACCGATCTCTGAATAAATTTTTATGGTAACAGTCTTCTAAGCATGAAACTACAAAAAGTAAAATAATAGAATCCAGAAAGTGACAGCCCTGAGGTAGCTCCAATAGATTTAGGGGCCCCTTTACATATGTGTTTTGTTTTGCATTCTCAGTTTCTTGATATGAAACATAAGGATGTTTCCTAATCCATGAATCCTATCTTTTATGGGCTTTTTACTGATTCAAAGCATTCTTCTGTCTCACCTGGATCTTTCTCTGAGAGGTAGAGTTCATTACCTCAGAGAATGCAACTGAGGCATGGATTAAGAATCTAACACCAAGTCATGAAGGACATGCTACATTTTCCAATTCTAGCTTCAATACTTTTCATTTTCTGCTAAGTTTGAGGCTGAACTGTGTGTACTTAAGAGTAATTGGGACAGGATGCTTGCCAGTAGAAAAGAATCTCTCCTTTAATTTCCAAAGATGGAACTAGAGAACAGGAATTGTGTTATGATTCTAAGAGTATGATAAAGCTTTCCTTTTATGGGCTTGTTACAAAGTATAATTGGTGACAACTGCAATTAGTATACCTGCAGAAAGGTTGGAGGAATGGTTTAAAAGTCAGGGAGAAGAGAGATGAAAAGTCTAAGAGTGTATATCTGTAATCACATGGCCAAGGATTGTTGGTATTTACTTAAGCTTAGAAACTTTGCTCTATGTACTTAAATGGATAAGCTGTCTTATGGATTTTAATTATTGTGGCATATTAATGCTTTTGCCATTGGCAGAGCAAAGTGCACTGTTAAACTACAGTTTTCATCAATAGTGTAAACTACTGTATTGTAAATTTGTAACATTTAGTGAGCTCTTACTGTAGTCTAGGCTTTATGTTGATTCTCTAGAATTGCCGTTTAGCCACAAATAAAGGAAGGTTCCAGACTACTGTTAAGGGATGGTGACAGTTCAGCCCAAGTTCCTCATCTCTACTTATAGGTAAAGCCCATTATCTTAGTTTCTGATGTTTGTCACAGTTTGTCATAGTGTACTTTTTCAAGATACAATGTCACATTTGGTATGCATAATCCATACTCCTTAAGTTAGCAGTGGTATGGTGCCTTAGAGTCTCATTATGTTTCTTTTTTTTTTTTTTAAGATTGTGTGTGTGTGTGTGTGTGTGTGTATACATATGTGTACACAAGTATAGTTACTTGAGGAGGCCAGAAGTGGGCTGTCAGGAGTTACTGATGGTTGTGAGCAGCCCATGTAGGTTCCAGGAAGCAAACAGGTCCTCTGCAAGAACAATATGCATTTTGTTTTTGTTTTTGTTTTTGCTCTTGTTCTAAGCCATCTCATGTTACGTTTCTGGCCAGGCTTGAAATTTCAAAATACTACTGTTGGGCTAGGATTGTAACTTGCCTATCATGCATGAGTTCAGTCCCTAGCAATGTAGACATTGGGGGGTGGTAGTATACACCTGTAATCCCAGCACAGCCTACTTGTGAGATAGAGGCAGGAGGATCAGAAGTTCAGGGTTATACCCAGCTGACATAGGAAGTTTAAAGTTAGCTTTTGCTACAGTCCAGGTATGTATGAGGCCCAAGCTGATCTGACTTTCTATCCTTCCAAGTACTGGGATTACAGGAATGTGCTACTATGCAGCTGGGTAGCACTAGAGAGCTCTGTGAGTTTGAGGCCAGCCTGGTATATGTAGTAATATATATTACTCAGGACAGCCAGAGCTACATAGTAAGGCGACCCTGTCTCAAAACAAAACAAAAAAAACACACCAAAAAACAGCTATGGATCTCAAAACTTTTTCTGCATTAATAATTATAATGACATATTCCTTCTTTTGTGGAGGGTAGTTGTTTTCCATAATCATCTTTCTGGACTAAAGGCTATTAGTAATATCTGAATTCTATGTGAGAGATTGGAGTATAAGTAACTGTAATTCCGTTCATCCCTTTTCCCCATCAAGCTACAGTCCCTATCTAAAGATACAGCATGGGTAAATTTGAGTTAGCACAAATATATTGACAGTGGCTCATTGTAATATGGGGAATTTAATTTTTACAAACAAAGCTTATGCTATTGATGTCATTGTTCAGCCTGTCTCTTTAAATCAAGAGCTGTATTTATGTCATTCTCCTTTTAAACATTTAGCATATACCTGAATTATCAACATATAGACTATAATAGAAGCATTTATATTTTATGTTTAACAGTTTTAAAGGACACCTTAGAAAAAAAGGGAGTGTTGGGACATTTAAAAGCAAGGATCCGTGCTGAAGTTTTCAATGCCCTGGATGATGATTGTGAACCCCGACCATCGTTATCTCATGAAAACCTACTAATTAATGAATTAATTAGGGAGTATTTGGAATTCAACAACTATAAGTACACAGCCTCTGTCCTCATAGCAGGTAAGTGGTTGTTCATCACTGGAGAAAAGATCTGCTTTACCCCGTTTTCTAACTCTTACAAAGCATTTAGCCTGAATATGTAGTTTCATTACTGTGTCTTGCAGTCGAACATTTAGCGTCCTAAGGGCTCTTGTCACAGCATGAACAAATTCTGGTGAGCTTTATGTTGTTGGTAAAACTAAGAACTAGGGCTTTCTACTGCAGGTTCTCCATGTGATATTAAGCACATAAAGAATAATATTAAGGTCATATTGAAGGACTTCTAAAGATCACTGTCTATTTCCCTCAGTTTGTTATAGCTGGCAGTATAATAACATCAGCACTCCAAAGGAGAGAGAGAGAGAAGGGGGGAAAAACATTTGAAAATGCCATCAGCTATGTATCTTGGAATTGGGCATCCCTAGGGTGAAATAATGACAGTGCTCAGTTTCATATGAACTATTTTGGTGTTTAGATTGTTATGGTTGCTCATGCCTATAATCCCAGAATCTTAATGGACTAAGGCAGGAGGACACTGCTTCAAAATAAAAAATAGAAAAGAGTTGTAGCTGTAGTTCAGTGGTAGAATATTTGCTGAACTGTGAGACCAGAGCTTAATTCCCAGCACTGGTATGGGGATGAGGTAGTATACCAACAGATGACTGAGTTTCTGTTCATCAGGTTTGCCTTTTCCAGATTACTATATAAATGGAAGCCTAAAGGAGGTGCCTTTTACTGCTGCCTCACATCATCTAGTAAAATACACTGGAGGGCCAGGTGTTGGTGATACATGCCTTTAATCCCAGCACTAGAAGCAGGGGCTCTCTCTGTGAATTCAAGGCCAGCCTAGTTTACATAGTGAGTTCCAGGATGACCAGGGCTACACAGAGAAACCCTGTCTCGAAAAACAAAACAAACAAAAAGCATTGGAGGTTCAGTCATGTATACTTTTCTCCTGTGAATAGGGAAATGCTGTGGCTGTGCTCTGTTCTCAGAGGCATTTTGGTTGTTTATACTTTCTGGTAGCAATGAACCAAATCCTTTAGAAACATTTACATGAAAGTTTTTTTGTGAATATCATTTTATTTTTGTAGATAAATAACTAAAAATGGGATTGCATATTGTCTAGGAAGCTAATACCTCCTTTCCGGTAATAACTGCCACTGCTTTCAAGTGGCTCTAGCATTTTGCCTTCTCACCAAGGAGGTAGTGACTTACATGTGTAGTCCCAGCTCTCAGGAAGCAAGGACAGAAAGACTCACTGCAAGTTGAAGGCCAGTCTAGGTCACATAGTGAATTTGAAGTTAGTCTGGACTAGAGTGTTAGACTCAGTTTAACAATACAATAATTATTTTTAATTTTAGAATTACCATCCCTGAATGAAATTTTTTTTTTCAAGATAGGGTTTCTCTGTATAGCCTTGGCTATCCTAGAACTCACTCTGTAGACCAGGCTGGCCTCAAACTCATAATTTGCCTGCCTTTACCTCCCAAGTGCTGGGATTAAAGGCATGAGACACCATGGCATGGCTAAAATATTTTTTTTTCTTTTTAATGTATGAGTTGCTCTGTCTGCATGTACACTTGCATGTCAGAAAGAGGGCATCAGATCCCTTTATAAATGTTTGGGAGCCATCATGTGGTTGCTGGAAATTGCTTAGGCCCTTAGGAAAAGCTCTTAACCTCTGACCCATCTCAACACCCCTAAATGATTATATTTTTTAAAATGAGTTATTTAATATTATCATGTGTTTAATCTATAGATATCTCAGAAAACATACTGAAGTCCAGTATTGTTGGTTTAGATGCAGAAAACATTGCCAATCATAAATTGGGGATATAAAAAGTAAGTATGTGTTAAGATGCAATCAAATGTAGAATAAAATTCTACATTTAATTGCATGGATACATGTTGAAATCATATTCAGTTGGAGCTGTCTTATATGCTGTCAGCTACTCCCAAAATCTGAGAAATGTATGTACCTGGGAAGTATGGTTATTATCAAAATTGAAATTGCCTTTTAGGTAACAGAGCACTCAATATTTTCTTGAATTTTGTCCCTGCAGAATCTGGTCAACCTGCAGTTCCATTGGACAGACAGTTTCTCATCCATGAATTAAATGCCTTTGAAGAAGCAAAGGATAACTCAATGTAAGACATTTCTAAAAAGAAGTTTGCAGATGTTATATTCAGATCTAATTGCATTGTGCTGTCTATGATTCATTTTATTCCAACAGGAACTGACTCAAGTTTACTATATTTTATACATTAAATGTGGTCCAAGAAGTACAGGGGCAAATAAATCTTTGCTGCAGCTGAAGTTGCTTTGGCTTCAAAGGACTGAACATAGCCAACCACTCTGCTTTCCTCCTTTCCTCTTCCTCCCTTTCATATCTTTCCTTCGAGGGCTTTTCCCCAATTTGTTTCTTTCAGTGGTGGTAATTGGTGCAGGGCCTTGAGCATGTTCAGGAAGCCCTGTACCCTAATGCCCTGAGCAGTCTTTCTGGCTCAGCCCTCCACTTATTTCTTTTTTTAAACTGTTTTTTGTTTGGTTGGTTTTTTTGAGACAGGGTTTCTCTGTGTAACCCTGACTGTCTTGGAACTTGTTTGTAGACCAGGCTGGCTTCAAACTCAGAGATATCCACCTACCTCTGCTTCTTAAGTGCTGGGATTAAAGGCATATACCACCACTGCCTGGCTTTTTGAAACTTAAAATTTTTGTTTATGTGTATGGGTGTTTTGTCTGCATGCATGTCTGTAAACTATATACATGCCTGATTTCCTCACAGGTCTTAGAGCTGTAGTTACAGGTGGTTGTAAGCTACCAGGTGGGTGCTGGGAGTTGAAGCTGATCTTCCAGAAGAACAGCCAGTGCTCTGAACCTCTGAGGCCTCTCTCCAGCTCCCTACCTTACCTCTTTCTAAGGATGACTCTTCTTGATCTTTTTTCTTCTTTCTAAAGCTTTGTTCTTTGAGTTGTTTTCTTCTTCATATTTAACCCTCCTCATTGCTTTCTTCTCTTCACTGTAGAAACAAATTAAAATCTCTTCTCTGAAAAGAAATAAAAGGTCTTTCCAATTAGCTTCCTGTCATCCCGCTACTGCTTTATAGTCTTTCATTGTCAGACCTGCTGTATCTGCCCTCTGCTCTTTCATGTTATCATCCCCTTCTCTTCTGCTGTCTGCTTCTTAAATGTTCCTTTTCTACATTCACACTGATTATTTCTTAGTTCTTTCCCCAGGGTTAATGCTTCTTACAGTTTTCCATAGAGTCCCTAACTGGCTAATTAATTAATTAGTTTGTACCTAGTGCCTGAGTACACAGATCAGAGCAACTTTTCCTGGCTAAAAACTTCTTTGAAGACTCAGGTTTTCTCTCTAAAAGTTTGCTGAATTTTTCATTTGTTTTTATGGTATAATTATGTTTGTTTTATTATAGACTATTACATATATGTATACACATATATGCCATTTAATTAACTCTCCCTCAGTGCTGTCCTGTCCCTAGCACCAAATATATGTCTGAATTTTTGCAGCATGTTGTAATACTGACTTTTCTTCATACTGACTTATTTCTTCCTGTCCTGTGTTTCTTGTGGTTCTTCAGTCGTAAGAGTTCCTCAGTAGTAGTCTTGCTTTTTTCATTGACCCCTTTAAATCATGGACGCTCTGTATTCTACCTTCATTTCTTTTCACACACCACCTTCCATATTCTTATGTCTCTAGGGAGGTCTGTATGGGGCAAATGTGCTCAGACAATTTTCCCGAGTTGGGGCCCATGTGTCTGCTGGCATCTCAAATGCTGTGTGTCCAAAATACAAGGGTGTTATTTTTGCCTATTTATACCTTCCTCATACGCTTTTCTTGTAGCTGCTCAGGTTTTAAGGCAGAGTCCACAGGCTGTTTAAAGGCAAATCTTTCTCTGTCAGTCCTTCACCAGTACTATTGATTCTGCCTGTGGATATCTGTTTATTCTCAGTGCTCTGTGCCATGCTGTTTACATTGCTTAGGATCTGCCTGACTAGTTTTTCTCTAGTTATTCTTTTCAAACTCATTGTATCCTGTCCTCTTTCTTTCTAAGGTAGCTACTGCATTGTTTAGAAACATTTAATGCATTTCCATGATGTTTATGAGTAAGTCACAATCCTAAGCTTTGCTTCAGGCTCTAGTGGCTCTACCCACCTCTCAGTGGCACACAGTTAATTGCAGCTTCATGGTTTTTTGCCTTTGAACCAACTGTTTCCTCTCCTGGAAGCCTGACCTTTCTCTTCTTCAATTTGTATGGCTTTACCTTTCATCTTCTTGGCCCTGTTTGGATGTTCCCACAGGAGCTGGGAGGGAGAAAGCCATCCACAGGTGCTTGGCTATGAACAGTTTGTGCTGACTGCATTGAATTTTAGTTGCCAAGAAAACTGATTATCTCCATAAAATCAAGGAGACCTGTAGAAGGAAAACAGAAAATATTTCTTAGTTTCATACTTTCATGTTTTCTTCTCTATATTTTCATCTGTGGTGATATGACATGACTACAGAAGGTTGTAACAGCAATCTTAAACAGATTACTGTTGCAAGGTGGTGTAATGCTAATAACAAGATCTGGTTACTGCCTGCAGATACACCTATCCTTGTTTGTATAAACTTGCCTAAAACATTACAACTGATTGCTTCATTAAATGGCCTATACCTAGGCAGGACAGAATAGAGTAGGTGTGGTTTTGGAGACAGAGAGGATCACGGGACAGGAGGAGAGGAAAAGGGAGGATACAAGAATGTGTTAGCCTGGAGAAGATATCACATGGGCCTGGAGGAAGGACTCCAATAATGGTGTAAAAAGTCCCAGATGAGGAACAAGCAAGTACAAGTACCATGGGATTGTATATGGAAGGTAGACCAGATGAGGAGGATTAAAGTAGATGGCATTGGATGGGGGCTGGGAGATGGGTGATGAGGATATTGAGACAATGTAAGGAAAATATCTGCCTGGCCCAGTTATAAGGCAATTATAAATCTAACAGGTATCTTTGTCTTATTATTTGTGATAGCAGGTTAAATAATACCACCACAATAATCTTAGGGCTAATAATAAACATTTTTATAGCCCAACACGTCTAATATTTTTAAATTTACAACAACAGATTACAAAGGAATATTATGGCTATTATGCTACATTTTAAATAAATAAAATGATTAAAGTAACTGCAGAGTGCACCAGTGTGTGTGTATGTGTATGAGCATCTGCTTCAGATAGCACTTTGATGTTGATCTGCAGTGAGCATCAGTGCTTTCCAACTTCGTGCTGGGCAGCTGAGGAACTCCTTCTGAAGGAAAAGCTTTGAAGCACTAGGCGTGAAAGAGTAAAATGAGCTGACTGCTTGCCTACACTGTGTATATTTTCTTCTATATATGAAGGAATTGTATTGTATATATACATTCTTTTTCAAACACTTTAGTTCCTCTTGTTTGGGGGGTATTGTATTTTGTCTCAGGGGTTTTTATCTATAAAGAATGTGAGGGTGTCTATTGGAAGCTGTCTCTCTGCATCCTTTCCTTCCCATGCAGAATCACAGAATCCCCTTTAATTGTCTTCTTGTGTTGTTGTGGATTATTTATTCCTGTATCAATAAGGTGTTTTCCAGCATTTTACAATTTTGCCAAAACCTATCTGACACCTTCTACAGTGTGGGCACTGTTTTAAACACTGGAGATGTGGCAGCACACTGTTTTCTATAGGACTCCCAGAGAGTGACTGCAGAATGCATATTCTATGAGATGCTCACAAAAGCCATTGAACCACATTTTCTCTTGGATGTGCATGAACAGAGCATGTACCCTAAGAAATTTTGCTACCGAAAGAACCTTTATCATCTAACTTGGTGTGTCCAGATTTATTTGGTAAAGAAATCTTTAAGGAGTCATTTTCACCATTCTGCAGAGCTAGTGATCATGGGTACAATAATCACTACATTTGAGTGTTAAGCAAATTTGGACAGTTTTTGAAATGTATGAAAAGAGTAGCTGTCTTAGTATTCTATTGCTGTAAAGAGACACCATGAGCACAGCAAGTCTCATAAAAGAAATAATTTAATTGGAGCTGGCTTACACTTTTAGAGGCTTAGTTCATTCTCATCATGGTGAGAAGTATGGCAGCACACAGGCAGGCATAGTAGTGGAAAAGTAGCTGAGAGCTACACATCCAGAACCACAGGCAGCAAGAAGAGAGAAGACACTGGGACTAGCTTGGGCTTTTGAAACCCCAAAACCCACCCACAGTGATAAAATTTTTCCAACAAGGCCACACTTTCTCCAACAAGGCCACAACTCCTAAGCACCACTCCCTAATGACCAAGCATTTAAATATATGAGCCTATGGGGAGCATTACTATTCAGACTATTACTGTAGCTAAGGGTGAGCAGTTAGGTCTGGGGTCATTCAAGCAGAAGGCATTAGTTTGCATTTGTCAGGTGTTGGGAATGAGTAGCTATTAGATTTTTCTTGGTAATTTGATAACTTCTCAAACATTTGCTGCAGCTGAGCAAATTAAAAAAGGAAAGTGGTGACCTTTATTCCAGAAAGTGAAGGACCTTCTTGCAGTTCTTCCGGAATTATGCATGGGAGGTGGGGTGGGTGGGTTAGTGCCCTGGAAATCAGACTCACATGCTAGGTGAGTGCTTGCCTACTGAGCAATACCCCTAGCTATACTTTTCTTTTTTTAAACAGGGCCTTTTAAAACTTGTTTTTAGAAATAAATTTTACTATCCATGAATTTGCAGGTTAAACATGCTATTTTTGTATTAGCTAAAGCAGTTTAAGATATCTGACACTTAAAATTTTCTAAATCTGAGGCAGATTTTATCATGGGACAGAAGTAAAGCTTCTAACAATCTTTTTTGTTTTTTGTTTGTTGTTTGTTTGTTTTGGTTTTGGTTTTTTGAGGCAGAGTTTCTCTGTGTAGCCTTGGCTGTTCTGGACTTGCTTTGTAGACCAGTCTGGCCTCGAACTCAAAGAGATCTGTCTGCCTCTGCGTCCCTGAGTGCTGCTGGGATTACAGGCATGCGCCCCAATGCCCAGCTGCTTTTAGCAATCTTAAACAAAGCTGCCTGAAAAGGGCAGAGGCATTGAGTCTGTCATGAGTCAGTTTCCTAAGAGCCTTAGCACTGAGAGCCTGCACTGCTCTCCTTGCCCTGGAGGAGCTGCTGTAACACCCAGTAATCATGTGCTTCTGCCTCATACATCACTCCCGAACTTACTGTGTGAGGGGTGTTGGGAACTGGGTTCACCTGAGCTTCAGATATCTTAGGAGGTTTCAGGTTTCTGGAAGTTCAACTGAGGCCACAAGATCTGCTTCAGACTACTTCAGCTCCTCACATGTATGCCTGTCTATCGGGCTGCTTGAATGTCCTTGGGCTGTGCCTCCTGCTGAGAGTGATCCAAGAAAGCAAGTAACTGTCCCTCACCACCTTGTCCCATTCGTAGAAGTGAATGAGGCTCAGTTAAGCGTCAGGTGTGTTAAACTTTTTTTTTTTTTAATAGGAATGTTATACTTTGAACCATTATGCCAGCTAAAGATGGATATCTCAAAAGTAAATGCATTTACTTATATTTTCAGGGGTGAGATTGGAAGTGAAGAGAGAACACTTCTAGGCTATCAGTAGCACAGCTTTCAGTGTCAAGGGGCTAACATAACAGGACTATGGGAGACATATTTTAAGAAAAAGCATTTAGAGTTGGTTATGAGTGTGAATGTTATTTGCCCCTGAGAGACTCTAGTATATTACTGAGCCCTGGTTTTCTCATTCATAGGTGATGGGTAACAGGAAATACAAAACAGCCTTTTAGATATTAGTTACTACCCATCTCTCCTGTAATCAAAATTCATATGCCATTTACTGTGTGCAGGTGTATAGTATACCAAACATGTGACCTAGGTATTGCTTACACCCTTATCAGGAGAGAAATGCTTATGAGTTTTAGGAAACTAAGGAACCAAGGTCTGCAGCTAGCTGTTGGCAAATCAGAATTTAAAGACAAACTACATGCTTTCTGGTCATAACCTTGACAGGACAGTGGATGCTGACCGATCTTAGGTTCCAAGAAGGCAGGGCTTGAAGCTGACAAGCTGACTTCCAGTGGGTTGATTAGAATTTCATTTTAGTTTAGATGATTATAATGGTGTTTGTGTGTTTTCTGAGGATTTAAAAATTCTCACTCAAGTTAATTGATACTTTTCTGTTTATGTCTTTTTTCTTTTTCTTTCTTTTTTTTTTTATCCTGCCTGTAAATCCACATTTCTTTTCTTCTCGTTTGAGGAATTATTTATTTTTATGTGTGTTGGGTTTTTTTTGTTTGTTTGTTTGTTTTGTTTTAGGTTTTTGTTTTTGCTTTGCCTGCATGTATGTCTGTGTGAGGGTATCGGATTCCCTAGAACTGGAGTTACAGACAGTTGTAAGTTGCTTTATGGGTGCTGGGAATTGAACCTGAGTCTTCTGGAAGAGTTCTTAACTGCTGAGCCATTTCTCTAGTCCCATTGATACTTTTAAATTGAGAGTGAACATTTGTCACTCGGATAATAATGCTGGGTCTTTTGTTGATCTAGTGAGTTAGATGGCTGTTTCTGTGTCAGAGTTTACCTTTAAAGTGAATGTTTTAAGCTTTTCCTACTTACAGAAAGTGAATTGATTTTGGTTTTGCCTTCTTCCTGAAATAGTCCTCTATTATATGGAATTTTAGCCCATTTCTTGCGTGGTCCTCCAGATGGCATCCAGAATGTACTTCTGGCAGAGTCAACACACCAACCTCCAAACAAGCATCTCAGCTGGAAGCCCAGCAGAAGACCAAACGGTATGAGTTTCCAACATTCTTTCTTTAGCTTCATTGAGTTTGTTCTCCTTTGGGGCTTGTCTAGTCCAGCATTAGCCTGTATTGCTTAATATCCAGAAAACCAAGTACTTTGGGAAAAGAAAATCTTTACTGGGCAAAGTGCTTAGATATAATTCCAAAGAAACCCTGATTTTCACATCAGTGTGGTTTTTGGAACAGCCTGGCTTACCACATTGTATAGTTTTCTTTGAAATCAAGAAATCACCTTTTTCAGACTGAAAAATACAAGGAAAGATTACTACTATACAGATAAGCCATGTCTGTACGCCATTACATTTTCATCTACCACAGACAGTTACCTACAGATAACAGCTTCTTTTTTAAAATGCTTTTGAGACAAGCTCGCACTCTCATTCAGGCTGGCCTTAAGCTTGCTTCAATCTTCTTTCCTCAGCCTCTTGAGTACCAGGATTGGATGCACAAGCAGCCATTCCCTGTTCAGAATGCTTACTTTAAAATGAGCTTTCAGAGCAAAGCATGATGGCTCAGGCTTGTAATTGAGGCCGTGAAGACTGAGGCAAGAACATCTTCAGTTCAAGGCCAGTCGGGCCTACAGAGTGAGATCCTGTCTCCAAAAATAAAACAAAGCTGAAATTAGTAAATAAATAAAATAGAAGTAATAAAGTGAATTGAGCTTTTGGTTGATTTGATCATGTTGGCAGCAGGTCCTAAGTTTGATTGTTTGAACTGAGTGGAAGCTGGGTATTTTCCCATGTAGTAGAGTTGGCACTCTTTCTCAGAAGAATGGTTACAAGAAGGGTTCAGGCAGCTGATGTGGGATTTGAAGTTAATTCTTAAGGAATGCCCACAATGCAAATTGCTCTATGAAGTTTTTCTAAGCTGCTATGACCAGTGCTGCCCCTTTTGAGTGACTCACTGCCCCTTACCTTCTGAAAGTGACATACTTGGGAATCAGGATAAGCCATCAGGTTATATATGACTTGACTGGTTTTATTCTCTGTCTGTTGGGATGCTGAGCTGACTAGGTTTGGACAATCATTTTTACTAACTTCCTAGAGAGCCAATACTGGGAGAAATCGACTCAGTGCAGGCCAAGGTTCAACACAAGGCCTCTATTCAGACGCAGCCGGAGTATGAGTGTAGGAGCCAGAAATCACTAAGGCTCTGACACTAGGTCAGAATACTAACCCACTAATCATGCCAATACATGTAAAACCTCTGAAAGTCTCAAGTAATATACAGTTCCTGTTAACCTTCTCTACTCTGCCCATTCTAACTCCTCAGATCTCCTGTCTTTCATTGAAGGTGCTCCTTTTGGCCTGTTATTAGTCATTCGGGACTAATTCTGCGTGTTTAAGAATCTGAACGTTAGAAATCTGAACCTGTGTTACCTTGCAGTGTGCTTATGGAACAGCTATCTGGCCTTTGTGGCAAGCATCTTTACTCACTGAGCCATCTTGCAGATTTTAAAAGCACTTTCCACAATTTCCTGGATAGTGTTACAATTTTAATAGGAAGATAGAAACTTTCCTCCCTTTTTTTATGTTCCACATGAGGGCTCAGCTAGCAGGCAGTTATTGTTTTGGGTGGTTCTACAAAGCAGATTGCATACTTGCTTCCTCCTGAGTCAATTCCTTATATCTGAGAGAGTGGCTTGCACTGAGAATTACTCAGAGATAAAAAAAAAGAAAGTTAAGCTGGGCATGTGGTGGAAGCCAGTGACATTGCCTCTCAAGCTGAGGCAGAAAGCCAGCCTGGGCTACATAGTGAGACCCTGTTGCTTCTCTACCCTCCAAATAAAGAAACACTTGAATTTTTACAGTTAGTTTTTTAATATTAAATATTTATGATTTCCTCAGTGACATTTAAGAAATGAGAACTCACAAAGTAGAGCCAACAGGATAGCTCAGCAGGTTTGTTGCCAAACCTAATTACCTGAGGTCAATCCCTGGGATACACATGGTAGGAGAGACCCGATTTCCTCAAGTTGTTCTCTGAGTTCTATATGGATACCTGCCAGGGCCCACAAGTCAATCCATGTTATAAGAAAAGTTCATAAAATACTTGATTGTTTGCCTGTTTTGTGTATTTTCTCTAGGTAACCACCTGAGGAAGGACATGGGGCCAGGCACCAGGACTGAAGAGCTTCATGCTGCTGCACAGGCAGTCAGTAGATGATGCACCAGGCTCTCTGACCTCAGCTGTGTATGGAGTAACTAACTTATTATTCCCAATACCATCAATTAGACCACCACTTTGTAAGCATTTGAGGTTCTACAAACATTCAGCTATTCATGTTTTACTGCATCTGTGAAAAGCTATCTGTCATGTAGCTTCCTGGATGCCACTGGGGGGAAATATATTGTTTTCAGGATGCATTTTTAAAGTTCTTAAGTTTGTGAAAACTGAAAGGGCTTTTTAATACTTTGTACTTTTTTTTAAGGCCAGCTAAGGGCTGTAGATGTGCCTCCAGTAAAGCACACATGCAAAGTCCTGGTTCACTCCTAGCTCTGAAAAAACAGAAACAAAAAACCCCCCCACAAGTACAGGGCTTCCATATGCTCTGTTCATTAAACTTCTTCAGCAAAAATTATATGGACCTGTGGGAAAAGTCATTCATGTTTTGAAAATAATATCCAAAGTGGTATTAAAACCAGAACTTATTCCTATAAAGTTTGATTCTAAAAAATATCTGAATTACTGTCTGCCCTGGCTAGTTTTTTGTCAACTTGACACAGCTAGAGTCATTTGGGAAGAGGGCCTTTCAGTTGAGAAAAATCCTTCCATCAGATTGGCTTATGAGCAAGCCTGTAGTACTTTTTCTTACTTAATGATTGATGTGGGAGGGTCTTACCCATTGTGGGTGGTGTCACCCTTGGGCAGGTGGCCCTGAGTTCAGTAAGAAAGGAGGCTGAGCAAGCCATGGGGAGCAAGTCAGTAAGTAGCACTCCTCTGTGGCCTCTGCATTAGCTCCTGCCCTGACTTCTGTCAGTAATGGTCTGTGATATGGAACTGCAAACTGAAATAAACCCTCTCCCTTCCCAAATTGCTTGGCCATGGTCTTTATAATATTAATGAAACATTAGTCTAGTGTTGATCTTTAAACTAGATAACAATGCTCTTTTCCCAAGAATAGGTCGGCTTCTACTAGGAGTTTTTTTTGTTTGTTTAAGATACATTGTTCTGCCTGCATGTATGCCTGCAGGCCAGAAGAGGGCACCATTATAGATGGTCATGAGCCACCATTTGCTTGCTGGGAATTGAACTTAGGACCTCTGGAAGAGCTGCTGGTGCTCTTAATCCTCTGAGCCATCTCTCCTACTAGGGGATTTAATTAAAAGGTAAAAGTGGAAATAATTATTTTAATTTTGCTTTAAGTAAAACAAAGAGTTTACTTTATGTTAAGCATGATGGGGTAGCCTTTGGAAGAGTACCACAGTAACTTTAATGGAGGCATTGTCAGCTCCATGTGGAAGCTCCCTTGTGCAAGTGGTGACAGCTATGGAGGTGCCATCCTTTGCTTATGTGGACTCTGAGAGACTTAGTAAGCATGAGTTTTTATACTTGGGATAGGAAAATCATAAGAGCTGTTATGGTTCTGTCTCTAAATGCTACTTTGCTATTTATCAAGGAGATTTTCCTAGTGTAGCCATAGGCTTTTTTCTCTGAACATACCTGTTATCATCAATGGCTCCTAGTTGGCAAGAGTTAAATAACATCTTCAGATAAACCAGCATGGGGGACACAGCCTAACAATGTGTGCCACAGGAAGAGAGCTAAGGGCTGCTGTCAGCGATGATGGTGACTTGAAATGTTACCAATTTGAGTTGTAACAGCCAGTCATATTCACTTCTTAAAGATCAACTGAGAAAATTAATTATTGTTAATGCAGTTAGAGTATGGCCTTTCACTCTAAAATTCTTAGAAATCCTGTTGTGTTAAAGAGATCTGTAACTGCCGAGTCTTACAAGAATCCATTTCTATTCAAAGTAAAAATATAAATGTATTTAGCATATATTTCCTGTTGATCATCCTTACTATACTTTAAGCAAAGAGAACAAGCTGATACTAGAGAGTACAGGAAAGGAAAGAACAGCCTGTTAACATTGACAAGCTGTGGGTAGAATTCTGACACATAAAGGGTGCCTGCTTCTGTAATGTGTGTGTCAATTAAGCTCACTGCCGTGATACGTCCTAGTCAACTCCAAGCCCAAGAATAATGCTCACCCCGTTTCAGATTGGGATTTTGTTTCTTTCCTGTTTTATCAGAGAACATGGGACACAGTTCAGTGTTGGTGGGGGTGAACAGAAGTACCCTCTTCCCTCATAAACTGATTACTTCCAGTGAAGATGCACAGGTGGTTGTCATTGAATATACTGACAATTGAAGTCTTGAATGCATGAAGCATCTATCTGCTGTTAGAAATTAGAGCCCTTTAAACTGGAATGTATCATGTTCATATTCTTTTTTCATACTTTGAAAGCATGATGTAGAAGATACATTAGATCTCCATGTGTAAAAATTATTGATCATGTTGCTGGCTTTTATAAACTATAAGCAAAGGAGAGGCCCTGCCTCAGCCTTTGTAATGAAGCACTTTTTTAAATAGAGAAGTAGCACAAAACAAAACAAAACAAAACAAAACAAAACAAAACAAAACAAAACAAAAAACCTATTGTATTGAATTGGCTGAATCGGGGCTTCTAATTCTGGCTGGATCTTCTGTTTTGTTGACTCTTTTAGTTTTATAGTCTTGAAATGACATTTCTACAATTTCCATTCTGTAGTTTCCCCAGCTTTAGATAATAATAATTATTATTTCAGTGTTGACTTGAAGATTTTCCTTTTGCATGAATCTCCAATGATTTCTCACAAATTCACTGGTTTTTTTTTTTATTTTTAAGATTGTATTTTTTTATGAAATTTTTCTGCTTATATGTCTGGGCACCGTGTAGATGCAGTGCTCACAGAGGCCAGGAGAGGATGTCATCCTCTGGAAAGTGGGTGCTGGGAACTAAACTCAGGTATTCTGCAAGAACAGCCAGTGTTCTTAACCTCTAAGCCATCTCCCCAGTCCTGAAACTTTCTGAATGCTTCATTGCATGCACCATTTCTTCCATAGGCTGAGTACTGCCAACATAACCTTCTTCTAGACTGAATGTTTTAATAGGACTTGTGACTGGTTCAATATTTAACAAGTGTGTTGTCATCTGGAGCATTTGTTAGCATGTCAGGCAGATACACAGACTTGTCGTATGCAGCCTTGTATATTCCTGAGTCAAGCCTCCTGAAACGGAGATGACTGGAGCTGCCTTACAGGGCAGCTGGGGATTGTGAAGGCAGGCCTAGAACATATGTGCACTTGATAGCACCATTACCCTCATAGTGTGCTACAGCCTGAGGGACCTGGTACGTTTGAAGAGCTTCTTTGAAAAGAGAAAAGCATCTATTTTTAAAACGTGTTACCATTTTTGTTTTTTTATTTATCCAAATAAAAAAGGGTTTTCTGTTCTCAAAAGCCGAGGAAGAGCTAGATTGTAGTGGAGTATGCCTGTAAGCTAGTCAAGTACTTGGGAGGCTCAGGCAGGAGAATTGGTAGTTCTAAGCCGCCCCAACTGTAGCCAGACCCTGTTTCCCAAAAAAGAATCAGAGCTGGAAAGATGGCTCAGTGCTTAACACTTTTTGCTCCTCCCGAGGATCTGATGCCCTCTTCTGACCTCTTTTGAGTACCTGCACATGCTTATACCCATACATACACATAATTAAAAATAAAGGAAACCCTAAGGATCTCTTAAGCAACAACAAAACAAAGAATTGAGACAGTCTACTGTAGCTGTCTATTCATGTGAGATTTATGAATACTATCAGCTGATTTATTCCCTGTGGCTTCTTAAAAAGGTTTGCAGGCTAGAACATTTCTTTTCAAGACAGTGTCACCATGTAGACCAGGATGGCCTAAAATCTGTAGCTCTGCCTTCTAAAGTGCTGTGATTAAACCCTGCCTGGCTAAGCTGGGACATTTAAAACTCCTAAGAAAGGAAAAACAGGTGTGTTCAAGAAGACACAAGCCCAGAAGACACATCAGACTATGTTCAGAAACATTATTGATACCTCATTGTGAGTTTCTTGAGGGGACAAGTTACCTTCTACAAACACAAAAGAAGTTTATGGGAAAACTTGAATTCACACAAACAGGATGGAAATAGAACCAAATGGCTATAGGAGACTTAATTATTCAAAACATGGTCAAACAAAAAAATGCCTGTCAAACCCAGGACTGGCTTCTGAAGATCATAAATTTAAGCCTAGTGTATATGTTTGTGTAGAATAAACAGATTGTTTTGTTTTGTTTTGTTTTGTTTTTTTTCCCAGAGCTGAGGACCGAACCCAGGGCCTTGCACTTGCTAGGCAAGCACTCTACCACTGAGCTAAATCCCCAACCCCTAGTTTTATAATTATGTGCAAGAACATGTTTGTATATGACTTGCATGCCTGGCTAATTATGTAAACTCAGTTGTTCCTTTAGCAAAAAGCCAAGTGTCTGGAGGACTGACAGTTCAGACTGTGCCTTTAGAGGCATCCTGGGACACTGCTTCCCAGACAGTTGGCATTTGATATTATGGCAACCACCATATGAGGACCATGGTCTACATGGAATACATCAGATAAAAATGAGATCAAACTTCCTGGAGGTGGCTCAGTCAGAGAAAAGTGCTTGTTATACAAGCATGAGGACCTGAGTTCAGATCCCCAGATCCCCAGCACCTACATAAGAAATTGGGCACAGCTACAGGTTTCTGTTACTGTAATGCTAGGGAGGTGGCAACAGGATGATCCTTGAGCCTTGTTAGCCAATTAGTCTAGCCAATTTGGTGAGCTCTGGGTTCAGTGAAGGACATTGTCTCAAAAAGTGAAATTGTGAGTGTGGTGGCATACATTTTTTGTCCCAGCACTTTGGAGGCAGATTTCAGAGTTTGAGGCCTGCCTGGTGTTACATAGCAAATTCCAGGCCAGCCAGGGGGCTATGTAGTGAAGCCTTGTCTCAATAAATAAATAATTATACACACACACACACACACACACACACACACGCACACGTGTTTCCACAGACGAGCACACACAGTCTGTTTTATCCGAGAACTTTGAAGTACCTGGCCAAATGAAGTGGGAAGTACTGAGTACTCTCACTCTTCTCCCACAGGCACTGCCTTTTCCCACTGTCTGAGTCTTTATTGGCGCTGCAATTGTTATAGAGGAAGAGCCTGCTCTGTCACCTGACAAAGCATGGTGATGGGTGTTCACTGTGGCCGTACTGACAGTTCAGCGATGGTGCCCTGACACCTGCCCACCTTTCCCAGGACACCATGTGTCTCGAGCCATTTTCACCTTCTAGGATTGGCAATGTACCATGAAGGTTCTCTCATGTCTTTATGGTTTGTTAGCTCATTCTAGTGTAGAATCCTGCCTCTTCATTAGTTACCTATTCACTTATTAGAAAATAGCCTGGCTGTCTCTAGGTGCTTGCAGTTACTAAAGCTGCTGAGCTGGAGGCATGAGGATCAGTTTTAAAGGTCTGGGCTACTTGGTGAGAGCATGTCTCAAACAAAACAGTAACAAAACTATTACTATAAATGCCCATATCCAGGACAGTGTGGAGGTAAGTTCATCTTCTTATGAAAATTTCCAAGCAGTTACTTTTCTATTGCTGTGGCAAATTATTATTACTAAGATATTACTAACTTACATGAGAAATAATTTATTGAGGGCTAGTTCCAGAGGACTAGAATCCATGACCATAATGGTTGGAGCAGGAAGGCAGGTATGGTGCTGGACCAGTACTGATCCACAAGCATGAGGCAGATAGTGCTAACTGGGTTTAAAAACCTCAAGCCTACCCCCAGTGATACACTTCCTCCAAAAGGGCTACAGCTCCAATAAGGCTACATATCCTAAACCTTCCCACTGCTACCATCTGGGGACCAAGCATTGAAACATCTGAGCCTATGCGGGCATTCTCATTTAAACTACCACATGGAATATATTTA